AAACACAGGCAATTGTGGAAGGTGTTAAAGAGGACATCGACATGTGTTCTGCTTCAAAGCCAAGTGATTTCTTTAATCAGGGCATTAACAACCTGACTGTAAGATGGAAGAACATCATCGATAAGAATGGAGACTATTTCATTTAATAAATGTTTTATTTGATATATAAGTTGTTTGTGTTTTTTCATAAAAAAAAAAGATACATTAATTTCTTGATGACCTAATATATGTGTACATAATCCTCATTAGAAAACAAACAACATTTATCTTATCTGTTCTGTTCATATCTTTTCCCTTCAGCTGATACTTGGTTTGTGGAAAAAACATAAGAGTTTAGTATGGTGAATAGGTTTTCATGTATTTTAAGATTTAAAATAGGATATTTCCTCATTTCTATACAGTGTCTATAATCACAATATGAAAAAAACTACTTAGTAATTGATCACATGAAGAATAACTAAAAAATGTGGAAGAAAACTTCATAACTACTGATGATGCAGAAGAACCATTTACAGATACCCAAGATTGTGTTCAATAATCATTTATCACAATCTGTTTGTGCAGAATAATGCTTATTTTTACTCAAATGTATTTGCTATTTACAACTTCTGACTGCAGTTGGACAACATCTTCGATAATGTGCAGTATAACAGGATCATCATCTACAGTATATGTACAGAATTTGTTTTGTTTTTACAATACATTCTTTAGCTGCATAGAACTTACCACATATGTATGTATATATACTAGTCTAATATGATACCTTAGGTTTATAGTTTAAAATGATAAAGAATACCTTACTCAAAAAGTACAGATATAAGATTTATTCCTGATATTGTAATTGCCTTATATGAAATTATAATTCTTTTTATTTAAAGCAATGGAAAATGCTTTCAATTTACCATTTTCTAATAATGTTAATAGACTTGTAGACAGTTATATGAATGTTTCTATAGCTAAATAGTTTAATGTTTGTTTGCTTTGTTTTTTTTTGAATTTTGCGTAAAGCTACATGAGAACTATCTGCGCTAGCCATCCCTAATTTAGCAGTGTAAGACTAGAGGGAATG